TAGCGCCTCTGCTCCCTCTCTCAATACCCATGGGGAGATGTTATCTGGCCCCATTGCCTTTGAGGTATCTAGCCCACTCAGAAGCCTCTTCACTTCTTCCTTCTTGGTTGTGTGCACTGTGTCCAGCACATGGTGGTGTGCCCCACCTCTCCGTCTTTCTGGAGCCCCTTCTGTCTCCTCTGTGAACACTTCTTTGAATCTCTTGTTGAGTTCCTCACATACTTCACGGTCATTTCTTGTTGTCTCTCCTCCTTCCTTCCTTAGCCTGATTACCTGGTCCTTGACTGTTGTTTTCCTCCTGATGTGGCTGTACAACAGTTTCGGGTCAGATTTGGCTTTTGCTGCTATGTCGTTTTCATATTGTCTTTGGGCCTCCCTTCTTATCTGTGCATATTCGTTTCTGGCTCTACGACTGCTCTCCTTATTCTCCTGGGTCCTTTGCCTTCTATATTTCTTCCATTCCCTAGCACACTTGGTTTTTGCCTCCCTGCACCTTTGGGTAAACCATGGGCTCATCCTGGCTTTTTCATTATTCCTGTTACCTTTGGGTACAAACCTCTCCTCAGCCTCCTTGCATTTTGTTGCTACATATTCCATCATCTCATTAACTGGCTTCCCTGCCAGTTCTCTGTCCTACTGAACCCCGTTCAGGAAGTTCCTCATTCCTGTGTAGTCCCCTTTCTTGTAGTTTGGCTTCATTCGTCCTGGCCTTCCTGCTTCTCCCTCCACTTGTAGCTCTACTGTGTATTCGAAGCTTAAAACCACATGGTCACTGGCCCCAAGGGGTCTTTCATATGTGATGTCCTCGATATCTGCACTACTCAAGGTGAATACTAAGTCCAGCCTTGCTGGTTCATCCTCTCCTCTCCTCTCTTGTAGTGTCCCTTACGTGTTGGCACATGAAGTTTTCCAGTACCACCTCCATCATCTTAGCCCTCCATGTATCTTGGCCCCCATGTGGGTCCAAGTTCTCCCAATCGATCTCCTTGTGGTTAAAGTCACCCATGATCAGGAGCTTTGCCCTGCATGCATGAGCTCTTCTGGCCACTCTAGCCAGTGTGTCAACCATCGCTCTATTGCTCTCGTCGTACTCTTGCCTTGGCCTCCTGCTGTTCTGTGGTGGGTTATACATCACTCTGTGTGTGTGTGTGTGTGTGTGTGTGTGTGTGTGTGTGTGTGTGTGTGTGTGTGTGTGTGTGTGTGTGTGTGTGTGTGTGTGTGTGTGTGTGTGTGTGTGTGTGTGTGTGTGTGTGTGTGTGTGTGTGTGTGTGTGTGTGTGTGTGTGTGTGTGTGTGTGTGTGTGTGTGTGTGTGTGTGTGTGTGTGTGTGTGTACTTACCTTTGTCCCTCTAATCATTAACTCCCTTTCCTTGTTTCCACCATCACTTAATATGCGAGGAAAACTTAATATGGATATTACATAGATTCACTTTTGTTTAACAACCACAAAGCATCATTCCAAGTTTTAACCTGTACACATATATCATCACTTGTTTCTTTCCGTTCGTACATTTTTTCTTATATATTGATTATACCAATATCAAACTTCATTTCAAATACAGAATATGTTTATTTACTTCACAATAAACAGCAGTTAGCTACCTAACTTTTATGAAAAACAAATTAAATCCAGAATTTAATTTGGTTTTCACTGAAGTGAAGTAATTAAGTGCAGTTTACAATAAAATAAACATTTTCCATATTTGAAATGAAGTTTAATGGTTAAGAACTAGTGGCAAAAAAAAAATAAAAAATAAAAAAAAATTAACCAGTACCAGTAACTGAAATGCCTGGAAGAAATTCTGCCATTATTAATAACCCGTAAACAGTCCAAACGTATATATATGTTTTTTCAACATTTGAAAGTATGTAAAAAAAGATTTTTTTTTTTTACATTTGAAAACGTGTAAAAAACTTTGATCTATTTTTTTTTTGTTGTATTTGAAAATATGTAAAAAAAACATAGATCTACTTTTGGAGCACTACGCATGTGAACATAGATCTGCTTGGACTGTTTACGGGTTATAGTAGGATAAATTAAAAAAAAAAAAAAATCCACAAAGCAAGGTTACAATGCTACAGTTTGGAATTTGAAAGACAAAGTATGTTAAGTAAACTCAAAGAAATAGAACTAAAACAGATTTCAGATACTGTATCAAACATTTTTCAAGGATTAACCCAACAATAAAAAATAAAGAAGCTTGCACCTAAATTAATCTAACTTTCTTAAAGATTCTATGGCTGGTTTTAATTCTGAGACTTTTAAAGATTTTTTGCAGTGGACCACCAAAAGTTCTTGTGTATGTAATTATCCCATTGTAGGAGCAGGGGCAAAGCTATGCTTGCAATGCTGCTGCCTTCAGATACAGTGGAACCTCAAATATCTAACTCCTCCCAATTCAACCAATTATGTAAGTGTATTTTTGTAAGTGCTTTTATAAGTGTATTTTTGAAGGTCTGAAATGAACTAATCTAATTTACATTATTCCTGATGGGAATAAATTCGTTCGGTAACAGCACTCAAACAACCGTCTGGAACAAAGAAAGTTCGATATTTGAGGTTCCACTGTATTAATTTATCAATTTTTTCCAGTGGGTGTGTTATTATACACCTCCATAGCAACAACTGATGATCTCTAATCACCTTACACACTACTGGGCTGTGCAATATACTACACTATTTAAATTTTTCAATTCATTGGCCATCTCCTACCAAGAAAGGATAGCATAAAAATAAAACTCTTACCACTGTTCATTCAATAACTGTCTTGCCAGAGGAGCACAAACATTGCAATTCAAATGACACTCTTGACTGCAACAACCACACCTTGTTCAGAATGCAGGAATGACATTTCCTACCTCTTGTGTTGTTCAGTGCCCTCACCCAGTGTATCTACCCTTATTTATTTATTTATTTATTTAAAAATTTGAGCACACATACAGAGGTACAAAAAATACAGATAAGAGCAGCATGCCAAAGCCACTTATACTATGCATAGCATTACGGGCTGGCTTAAAATTAACTTAAGATGAACTAAGCAATGATGACATCAGTGATAAAACTTTATAAAGGTATCTAGTGAGGGCATTTATGTATTACCCTCAGCTAGCATTTTTATGGCTGAATTGTATGCCATTCTTGTAGCCCTTATCTGTATTACATCTATGCCTGTGTCACCATTTGTGGTTGTTTCAGACTCCCTTAGTGCTTTACAGGCTATATGGAAATTTGATACACCTCACCCCCAAGTTCTTCATATCCAACTTTGGTTATGCTGTATCTCTAGCAAACACTGAGATAATGTTTTTTGCTGGGTCCCTAGTCATGTTGACGTACAGGGCAATGAAGAGGCAGACGCTGCTGTGTGGTCAGCAGTACATGACCTCCCAGTTTCACAGAGGTGTTCCATTCACGGACTATTTTGCTGTAATTGCTACCCAACCTCCCACCCATTGGCAACAATGTTGGTCTGATCTCCTCCATAAACTTCATTCTGTTAAGCAAAGTACAGTGGACCCTCAGCTAACGATGGCATCAGCTAACGTTAAATCCAGTTAACGACACATTTTAACGCAAAAATTTTGCCTCGACTAACGCTAAAACACTCGCCCAATGCGATTCGTTTGAGACGCGTCCACGTGTGGCTTGAGCGTGCCTCGGTTGTCCCGTGGGTGCCAGTGTTTACAAGCCAGCCAGTGCGGTCGCATCCACGCATACAATCGGAACATTTCATATTATCACAGAGTTTTTAGTGATTGTACCTGCAAAATAAGTCGCCATGGGCCCCAAGAAAGCTTCTAGTGCCAACCCTGTGATTTGCTGTGCGACAGAGGTCCAGTGACTCTCAAGCTGGTCCTAGTGGCATTGAAAGAAGAAGGGAAGTAACCCCAGAAAAGGACTTGATACCTCAAGTCCTAATGGAAGGGGATTCCCCTTCTAAACATTAATAACTTCCACACTCTCCCCTCCTCCCATCCCATCAATCATCACCAGATCTTCAATAAAGGTAAGTGTCAGTTTGTGTGTATTAAAATTAATATTTCACGTGGTAAAAAAAATTTTTTTCATGCTTTGGGGTGTCTTGCACGGATTAATTTGATTTCCATTATTTCTTATGGGGAAAATTAATTCAGCTAACGATAATTTCAGCTAACAATGAGCCTTCAGGAACGGATTAATATCTTTAGCTGAGGGGTCCACTGTACAGGTTTCTGGGCGTCTTCTTGTCATCGGTGTCGAGGTTGGGAGACTACTCTCTCCCATCTTCACATCGGCCACACTCGTCTTACTCACGGTATGTCATGGAGAGGTGTCCTTTTCCTCTCTGTGAGAATTGTCAAGTTCCAGTATCTGTCAGCAACATTCTGTTGGACTGCCCACTATCAACGAGCACGTAGAATTTACCTTCAACGTCGTCTCTGCTCTGCTGCCCTTTCCTTACCTTCCCTTCTTGGTGACGGACCCTCCTTTAATCCAGACTCTCTCACTGCCTTTTTGACAGCAACTGATTTACTACACAAACTCTGATGATGTCTCTGGCACTCTTCTCAGCCCTTTCCACCTTAATCTCTAGCTACCCTCTACCCCTGCACTATCCACTGCCCTGCAACACTTCATAACCTAATAATCATCCCTTTCCCTCTTACTATCCATTACCCCTGCATCCTTCCCTGCCCTGCTGCGCTGTATAATCCTTGTGGTTTAGCGCTTCTTTCTGATTATAATAATTAAAGGTATTTTACTTTACTGAACTTTTATTCCCATAACAGAATTTATTATGGCATAATATCTTCTTAGAATAATAAATCTACATCTGTTGTTCAAGTAAACAAGATTAGATATCACATGAAAAAAAAAAAAAAAAAAAAAAGTGAAAAGTTCTGTAAACCTCATTGCATCTGCAGCACATCAACAGCTATGGCTGGGCCATGTGGTAAGAGACCAGTTTTTAAATGGTTTACAAAGATATAAAAAAAAAAAAAATGAAAAAAGAAAATTACCTGAAATGTGGCATGGAATGCAGGACTGCGAAAGGTGATTAGCACTGAATTAACAGTAACAGTCATGCCGTCGATGACTTTGTCGGAGAAGCCATAGCGTCCACCTGAACTATAAGACGGGAGGACAGATTGTCCACCTTGACATCTCAATTCTGTGCAGGTTTCCATTTCTACTTGTACTTCATCCAAGCTCTGTAAAATATTCAGTGATACGTAAAGTAAAAATTATACAGTAATATGAAAGAGAACCCAGAAATTCTTTTGGAGTAAAAACTACAGTACAAACAACAGAATGAAAGCCTGAAAAGTTGTGTTGAATAAAGATGGTGAACTGTTTAGCCAGTACTGTAAATTACAAAAATATTGTGAAGAGTTGATGAGAGAAGATGTGACAAGAACCAGAGGCAGTCTCAATGTGACCAAACATATCACAAAATGGGCCAGAACTTTAGAAAACAAAACATTTGTGTATTGGGTAGGGAAAGAGAGACATGATGCATGGAAGTCTCCTTACATCTGCTACCCATTTTTATCTAGCAGTATACAAGTACCTAGGAGTTAGTCAGCTGCTATGGAGTACTTCCTAAGGAAGGATTAGATGGACCCCAATAGAAATTGGCTATAATGCTTTGTTGCAGTTATTCTGAGTTAACCTTAAAAATGTATGGTAATTTTCTTTATTCCAAGATGCAGCAACTATTCCTTTTAAAATATGGAAAACTGATTAAAAAGTGAATACAAGAACTGCAGAAGATCAAGCCTCCTTGTAATACTGTAGATGAGAAGATGTATTTTTACCTGTATTCCTATATTGTACAGTAATTGTAACTAGTGCAAGTAACTTTACAAAAAAAGGAAGTTATCAGCCTAATAATGGTACTGGAGATCATTGCACTCACAGCCTGTCAAAGATCAGACCTAGCTGATAGGCTAGTCAGACTACTAATGCTCATGGTACAAAGTCTAATGTAGATACTGAAGGAGCTTAAATTTCCTCTAAGATAGGCAAAAGTCTGTTGATAATTTCCCTTAAATTCAAGGGATGGAGCTAAAAATCATTAATGAAGAGACAAAGTATAATGTATGAAAATTTTTCACTTGCACAAGATGTAGAGATTTTTTAAACAGCTATTACACAGGGAGAAAAGGCATTAGGGTTGTAGAATGAGCCAAGTAATCTCTATTATGTGAAAAAATTATTAAATGAAGGAAAAAAAATCCCCAAAATGAAAATAATACTTATGCAAGTTAACCCTCAACCCTTTCACTGTCTCCCATATATATATATATATATATATATATATGTTGCAAGGAATTCGCGAGAGCATGCGAAATATACACAAACACTGATCTCTGGCTGAAGGAGACTCGAACCTACGAACCTTAGGACAAGGTACGCAGTGCTTTACCAATCTACCCACACTGGACCAATACCTTGGCGTGTAGCATGTGCTACACGTTTGATCCAATGCAGCCAGCTTTCAGGGAGAAGGCTTACAGCTTTTCATCTCATCCCCTGCATGCATCAGCCTTACTAGAGATTTGAACAATGCAAGGAATTCGCGAGAGCATGCGAAATATACACAAACACTGATCTCTGGCTGAAGGAGACTCGAACCTACGAACCTTAGGACAAGGTACGCAGTGCTTTACCAATCTACCCACACTGGACCAATACCTTGGCGTGTAGCATGTGCTACACGTTTGATCCAAGGCAGCCAGCTTTCAGGGAGAAGGCTTACAGCTTTTCATCTCATCCCCTGCATGCATCAGCCTTACTAGAGATTTGAACAATGCAATGATTTGAAAAGCTGTAAGCCTTCTCCCTGAAAGCTGGCTGCCTTGGATCAAACGTGTAGCGCATGCTACACGCCAAGGTATTGGTCCAGTGTGGGTAGATTGGTAAAGCACTGCGTACCTTGTCCTAAGGTTCGTAGGCTCGAGTCTCCTTCAGCCAGAGATCAGTGTTTGTTTATATATATGTTAGTGAGGCCAGTGTCACTTACACAGATCTATACAAAGTCAAGTGGCCTCAAATTTGGCATGAGAGCCTGATAAGCCTAGACATGAGAAAACTGGTTTGTGCAGTGTGCACAGTACACAAAAAGTTTAGGGCAGTTGCAGTGACTCATGGGAATGCTATCTTAGTTTACCATTGTTACCATGCCGCATAGCCAAAGTACTCTCACCCCTCGTTGGGAAATTATGCACCTCCTCATAAGTGAAGGTTCCAACAATGAAGATGTAGATTCTGAGGAAGGGTTTGATTTCAAAGATCAAGTGACTGAAAATGACAATCAAAATGCTGGAAATAACACTGAAAACACGAATGGCACAACCTCAGGAATCAGTGTATCTACAACACATCTATGCCATAAACGAAACCTAATATGCTCCCATGGTGTGGGCACAGATGTGAGCAATTATGATGATAGTGATGAAGTATAACCCAATATAAATATTCCCACACCCACAGCTTAACCTGAAAATTATAAAAAATATTCTCACCACAACTATGGGAACACTTTTGAGCTTAGTCCATTGTATTTTGAGGCTGACTCTGTTTACTAGAGCACGTGTAATCCGAAGCCAAGTTGGAAGTTCAAGAAGATCTGTCAGAACCGTTTCATTAAGTTCTAAGTTTGAGAGTTCTCCTTCTCCCTTCAGTGTGCTTACATTGACACTGTCTGACGATACATTTTTTGCAAATCTGAAAGAAAAATACAGTACATAAATACAATATATCTGAAGTGTGTATATGTATATAAATGTATGTGTATATAATGAGTGTATGCTATCACTAATGAGCTTACCTGTTGGCAAACAAGCATGGACAAGTTTAAAAAATACAAATTATAAGAAAGAAGTGAGAATAGCAAAGAAGAAATATGAAATCACTATTGGTCTGTTTACACCTCTAAATTTCCTGCTTTGACTAAATCGTCAGTGGAATAGAGAAGTTACAGTAAGAAAAACAGAAATGCAACAAGACCCACCCATGGGGAGGCAACACAGTACAAAAAATAATGCTGCCCCACGCAGTGCATCACAGAAACAGCTAACTTCTGACCTTGTGTTTGGGTTAAAATAGAAATTGAGGGATTTTCTGAAATGGGTTTCATGGTTTTACTGGCTGTTTCATGGTGTCAACTGGAAGACCAGAAGATGTGCTAGTGATATGGGAGATGATACAAGTCTGTTCCAGACCAGTAGTCTGAAATAGGCCTAAGAGTAAAAATCTTCAATTCTTTGATGATTTTCCTGATGTCTATTGTTTTATGGGTTTTTACTAGGTCTGCTTCAGTTTTTGGATGGTCTAAACCATGGCCAATAATTCTCAGTTATTTGACTAATCTGAGAAATAGGTAAAACTTCAAATTTTTTCATGATGGATTCAAAATGGAGAGCAAGTTAAGAAAGGCCTAAGGGCAAGATTATATATCTTAATTACTTCAAGTACATGTAAGTGGTATAAAGGCCTAACTGACATCAATGAAATACTACTATATAGAAAGCCCCTTGTTATGCTGAGCATTTTGGGCAAATTAGGTCAGTGTCCCAGGATGCAACCCACACCAGTCTAACTCCTAGGTACCCATTTTACATAGACAAGAGGTGTAAAGAAACACGCCCAATGTTTCTACCTTGGATGGGAATCGAACCCAGGCCCTCGCCGTGTGAAGCGAGAGCGTTAGCCACCAGACCACCAGAGTAAATGAAATGCATATAGTGTTTATTTTGAAATGTTTTTACATTAGAATTGGTTGAATTTTGCATAAAATTGGCCAAATAATAACTCTGGGCATTGACTGGGATAATTCTGATAGTTGAATGCCCAGTTTATTGTGCTCAATTAACCCTTTCAGGGTTTTGGCCGTACTAGTACGGCTTACGCCCCAGGGTTTTTGACGTACTAGTACGCCTAAATTCTAGCGCCCTCAAATCTAGTGAGTGAAAGCTGGTAGGCCTACATATGAAAGAATGGGTCTATGTGGTCAGTGTGTGCAGTATAAAAAAAATCCTGCAGCACCCAGTGCGTAATGAGAAAAAAAAAACTGATAGTGTTTTTGGATTAAAACAGCGAATTTGCACTGTATTTTCGTATGGTATTTATTGTTGGATTCTAGTTTTCCTGGTCTCATTTTATAGAATGGAAGACATACTACAGAAATTGAGATGATTTTGACTGGTTTTACAATGAAAATTACCTTGAAATTGAGCTCAAAGTAGCACAAATGTTCGATTTTTACCAAAGTTCAAAAGTAAACAAATCATGCCAAGCGTCCAATACACGTCAACTGGTGAGTCTAATATTCTTTTACAAGTGCGCTGATATTATTTATACCATTTCTACACTAATGCAGTAGTCTGCATAACAGTAAATCTTCCATTTTTTGTAAGAATAAAAATTCAAAGTGGAAAGCCAAAGAAATATAAGAGGGGCCTGGGGATGTGACTAACGAACAGAGAACTTGTTATTTTAGTGCCAGGAATGTCTTTCTTGCTTATTCTGGACCCTATTCGGAAATTGGCATCTTTTAAAATTTGTGTGAAATTGGCAAAATTGCTAAATTTTGACCACTTTATTGGATAGTTGAAATCGGTAAATGGGTGGTTTCTTGTACTCATTCGATAAAAAAAATGGAGTTCTAGCAAAATAGTTATGATTTTTGTCGACTAGTACACTGGAATTGGCTGAAAATAGGGCTCAAAGTGGGCAAAATCGCCGATGCGTAAACATCGTTGAGACCACTAACTTCGCGAGTGCATAATTCCGTAAGTTTTCCATCAAATTTCATACTTTTGGTGCCATTATGATGGGGAAAGATTCTCTGTCTTTTCATAAGAAAAAATAATTTTTTTTTTTAAATTTGGGGACCCTGAGAACAAGTCTCGGAGAGGGCCTGGGACCCTGAAAGGGTTAATAAAGCAGGAAGCATACTAGCAAAATAAACAGTAACTGGGTTAGTTTGAGCGATGGAATCTGCCTCAAAGTGGGTAAAATTGCAGTTGCATAAATTGCCCCCTGTCATTTTTACCTATAGAATAAGATTCTGTACCATTTTATAAGATAGTTTTTTAAATTGCAAAACAGATGGGACTTAATTCTGAGGGATCACAATAGCAAAATGGTTAATATAACTGGAAATTATTCAGATATTGTTGTAAGTGATTTCTGATGTCTTCATTTGATTAATATATATACATCAATATACCATTTAGTTGTGGCAACAGCAAGTAAGAGAGATGTGAAAGTGTATAAACTAAGGGAGGAGGAAGTTAGGGCGAGATATAAGCAACTATTGGCAGAAAGGCAAGCTACTGCAAGTATGGGCAGTGGGGGGGAGGATTGAAGAGGGATGGTATAGTTTTAAAAATGCCTTATTAGAATGTGGGGCAGAAGTTTGTGGTTACAGGAATAGTAAGTTTGTTCAGGTATACACAAATACAGTTACATAGATTATCATACATAGCAGCAAATGTGTAGAGAACCTAGGAAGGTGGGTGCAGGAGGAAAGAGGAGTGATTGGTGGAATGATGAAGTAAAGGGTGTGATAAAAGAGAAAAAGGTAGCTTATGAGAGGTTTTTACAAAGCAGAAGTGATACAAGAAGGGTACAGTATATAGAAAGTAAAAGGTGAAGAGAGTGGTGAGAGAGCAAATGATAGAGTGGGAGAAACATTGTCAAAAAATTTGCTGAAAATAAGAAAAAATTTTGGAGTGAGATAAACAAGTTAAGAAAGCCTAGGGAATGCATGGATTTGTCAGTTAAAAACAGAGTAGGGGAGTTAGTTGATGGGGAACTGGAGGTATTGGGTAGATTACCTGGAGTTTACCTGGAGAGAGTGCCGGGGGTCAATGCCCCCATGGCCCGGTCTGTGACCAGGCCTCATGGTGGATCAGAGCCTGATCAACCAGGCTGTTACTGCTGGCTGCACACAATCCAACGTACGAGCCACAGCCCAGTTGGTCAGGTACCGAATTTAGGTGCTTGTCCAGTGCCTGCTTGAAGACAGCCAGGGGTCTATTGGTAATCCCCCTTATGTATGCTGGGAGGCAATTGAAAAGTCTTGGGCCCCTGACACTTATCATATCATCTCTTAACGTGCTAGTGACACCCCTGCTTTTCACTGGAGGGATGTTGCATCGTCTGCCGAGTCTTTTGCTTTCGTTGCGAGTGATTTTCATGTGCAAGTTCGGTACGAGTCCCTCTAGTATTTTCCAGGTGTATATAATCGTGTATCTCTCCCGCCTGTGTTCCAGGGGGTACAGGTTCAGGAACTTCAAGCGCTCCCAGTAATTGAGGTGTTTTATCTCCATTATGTGCGCTGTGAAGGTTCTCTGTACATTTTCTAGGTCAGCAATTTCACCTGCCTTGAAAGGTTCTGTTAGTGTGCAACAATATTCCAGCCTAGATAGAACAAGCGACCTGAAGAGTGTCATCATGGGCTTGGCATCCCTACTTTTGAAGGTTGTTATTATCCATCCTGTCATTTTTCTAGCAGATGCGATTGATACAATGTTAGGGTCCTTGAAGGCGAGATCCTCCGACATGATCACTCCGAGGTCTTTGACGTTGGTTCTTTCCTCTATTTTGTGGCCAGAATGTGTTTTGAACTCTGATGAAGTTTTAATTTCCCCAAGTTTACCACATCGGAGTGATTGAAATTTCTCATCGTTGAACTTCATGTTTTCTGCAGCCCATTGAAAGATTTGGTTGATGTCCGCCTGGAGCCTTGCAGTGTCTGCAATAGAAGACACTGTCATGCAGATTCGGGTGTCATCTGCAAAGGAAGACACGGTGCTGTGGCTGACATCCTTGTCTATGTCAGATATAAGGATGAGAAACAAGATGGGAGCGAGTACTGTGCCTTGCAGAACAGCATTTCACCATAGCCGCCTCAGACTTTGTTGAATACGTACTACTCTTTGTGTTTGTTTGCGAGGAAATTGTAGATCCATCTACCAACTTTTCCTTTTATTCCTTTAGCACGCATTTTGTGTGCTATTACGCCATGGTCACACTTGTTGAAGACTTTTGCAAAGTCTGTATATATTACATCTGCATTCTTTTTGTCTTCTAGTGCATCTAGGACCTTGTCGTAGTGATCCAGTAGTTGGGACAGACAGGAGCGACCTGCTCTAAACCCCTGTTGCCCTGGGTTGTGTAACTGATGGGTATCTAGATGGGTGGCAATCTTGCTTCTTAGGACCCTTTCAAAGATTTTTATGATATGGGATGTTAGTGCTATTGGTCTGTAGTTCTTTGCTATTGCTTTACTGCCCCCTTTGTGGAGTGGGGCTATGTCTGTTGTTTTTAATAACTGTGGGACGACCCCCGTGTCCATGCTCCCTCTCCATAGAATGGTAAAAGCACGTGATAGGGTCTTCTTGCAGTTCTTGATGAACACAGAGTTCCACGAGTCTGGCCCTGCGGCAGAGTGCATGGGCATGTCATTTATCGCCTGTTTGAAGTCATTTGGCATCAGGATAACATCAGATAGGCTTGCGTTTACCAAATTCTGTGGCTCTCTCATAAAAAATTCATTTAGATCTTCAACTCTCAGTCTGGTTAGCGGCTTGCTAAAAACCGAGTCATATTGGGACTTGTGTAGCTCACTCATTTCCTTGATGTCATGTGTAGGACCCATCTTGTTTAAGTAGGGGCCCAATACTGGATGTTGTTCTCGACTTTGATTTGGCATAAGA